GATTTCAGACCAGTATTTTCAGACGAATATGTATTTTATTATTTCTCACACATGTAAAAGTACACATTGTCAAAGTACAAAGCAAACAGCAAGCTGACTTGGTTGAGTGGGTAAGTAGCTTGCTTTGTAATTTGTCTTTCTGTTCATAAGTACCACGATCGAATCCCGTCGACGGCACTATCATCCAATATGCACTTCTTTCTAGTAAGTCAAGCTTTTCTCATATCGACACACACTCTGCTAGACAATAGACAATGAAACCGTAGCTAGTAATTAAAAATATTTTTAAAAGTACATTGTTAAAAAAAGAAAAAGCGCGTTTAAACGCGTCTAGGAAAAACGCCATCTAATGGTGCATTTTCGATGCACTCAGACGCGTCTGGTAAAAACGCGTTTAAACGCTAGCAAATGGTGCATTTCCAGAGCGATTAAACGCAGCAAAAAACGCGTTTTCAGACGCGTCTGGGATTGAAAAATATTTACATGGGACAGACAACCAGTTTGTAAGACCCTAGACTAAAGTCAAGGGAATTGATAATAGGGATGCCACTCTGACTCTTCTCTTTGCTTTTTTTGTCTTTATTTGACAAAAAACACTCCGTAAACACTCTGAGTGTTTACATAAGGTTCTGATCAGAAGGATCGCAAGCGGAAGCAAAGTACACGCTGCTTTTATGCCCGTTTCCATGGTTTTTTTATTTGTCGTGACCTTTCTCGATCTAAGAGATTTGTTTCGCTAATCAAATTCTCAGTTCTCTGTTGCTGAGCATGTAAACTGCTGTTTACATTTTTTAGTAGCAGAGGTTTTAGCTAGAATGGACAAATAATGGGCTTATATTTTCACTTGGATTTTTAATAAAAAAAAATGAACTAGCGAATTCTTTTCATGTTTGGCGAGATAGCACTATCGTAAAAATATTTTGACTTTCATTGTTTGAAACCGCCCTAAAACACTTTATAAGTAACCTTTCTATGTTTGTTATTCCCAAGCATCAAAAAGAAATCTAGTATCGCCCGATTCATCTAGATTACTAGATTTTTACTCGATTGCAACTACTGTGTAGCGACAGTGGAAATCTAGTAATTGGGCGATTACTAGATTTTTTCTAGTTACACCTATCGATTTATCGCCCGATAATCGATCGATTCAACTATTACTAGATGCGCCTGCAGACGCATCTAGTTAAAAGTCCCTTTTCCAACTAGTAATCTAGATGACAACTAGTCGTGTATCGCCCGATTACAGACGAAATGTATCTAGATTTTTCTCATAGGTGATGTTTGCTTGGGTTCTTTTACCTGAACACTTTCTTTCCATGTGTTACACTGCTCACAACAAAGATTTTTCCATTTTAAAACAATAAAGTAAACCGTAGTTGTTTTTCTTTTGTTCGTTGCTAAATTACATGTTTTGTTGACCACAAGAAATTCGAAATCGTCCGACCGTGAGTGCGTTTATTTCGGACTAAAATTCTTTAGACAATAGTTCAAAATACTACTTTTCTTTGTTTTGATTGTTGTTGTTGTCTCCTATTTTTTTAAAATGTGCACCCACTAATCTTTTTTCTCGTTCTAACAAATCAACGAAATGTTATTTGTTTGTATGTTGTTTATTCAACGGTGTAACTTTTTCTTGTCGAACTGCACGAGACGAAACTCAGCGCTACCAAAAAGAGGATCGGTCTTTCTACTTTCAGTCCACTTAATTTTAATTTATACGAGATTTTTCACAATTCGTAGAACAGCAGCAAGCACCTTATAGTGACTTGGGAGATGGTGTGTGTATAAGATCGCAGAAATAGTTTCAGGTTCGGTGAACGAAAGGAAACTACTTTAGTTTTTTTTCGGTCATAAAAAGCGTTTTCGTTGCAGCAAAATGCTCCAGAAGAATAGACCGTTTTACTTTGTCGAAAATCAAAGCCGAATGCAGACGTCTAACTGCCGGTCTTTCTATATTTCTTTGAAATTTTGGCCAACTCCAATTGAACGAAAATAAAACCAAACGGCTGTAATTATTGTCTCTGACAATGAGGAAATCGCAGCGAAAAACCAGCCTTTGAGAGTCTCATTCGTGCTTGATTTCGTAAGATATCCATTGACTACGTACCCTGACGGTTTCTGTTTTATGTCCTCTTCCTTTCGATTATCTACACATTTCTGCACTCTTTCTGTCGAATTCATTAAAAGGCAGAAAAAGGTTTGCAGAAACTCCAAGGAAAAAGGAACTGAAATATAAATTTTCATCGTACGTTGTTTATGAATGTTTCAGCTGTCGGTGCCCTCATTCATAGCCACACGGGTTGCTATGGAATGAGAAACGTTATACTAGACTGAAACCAGAAGGACGAAATTACCGCATTTCTGCATTGTAGATCAGCCATAAATAAACTATTTATAGATCATTCGAATGACCTTTAAATGGCCCAAATGCAGGTCGCTTTTTTTGGACTATTTTACGGTCATCATTAGATCATTCATATGACGCATAAATGGCTCAGTTATGAGCTATAATAGTCTAAAAATGGCGTAAATATGATCTTCCAAAACACTCAGTTAGCAAAATGGTGTTAAAATGACTCATAAATGTGCTATGAATAACCTAAATATGATCAAAACTCGATATTCATTTTAAGATCATATTTAGCTCGTCGAAAAACGGCCTTAGAAGAGTTAAAAAATGAGACAATAATTGGGCTTAGAATGAGCTAAATATGATCATAGATGATCTTGAAATAGATCATAAATGAACAATAAATGACTCATATACAGATTATATATTGATCATATTTAAAGTCATTTTCATCGCCCGGAGTACCTAGACCATTTTCTACCATTAAGTGATCATTAACTGATCATCCTTCTGTCATATCATTAATTGGGCATTAATGAATGGCTCATTAATATCTCATTTGCATTCACCTACACTCTAAAAAAAATCCGTCTTCCTCTTGTATTGGTCTAACCACACCACTATATAAAAGCTTTTCTCTATCCTCAAAGAAATGACCTCTGAAAACTTCTTTTTTTTCAGACATCGTAATTTCTTCTTTATTTCATTTTGCAGCTGGACTAGCTGATTCCGAATATCACCTTGGTTTTTCTTCAAAGTATAATACGAGTGCCTAACGCCGGATTTCCTCCTTAGAGACTTCGAGTTTTTGGGCATCCTGTAAAATAGCCTGGGAAAGGTTTCTTGAGTTTTTGCATCTACCATAAGTAGGATACATATGTAGGAGCATGAAGTAAAAATGCGCGCTCGATCTGACGTTATTCCTTTGTAGCGTTTACAATATATGGAACGGTACGTTTTCAGATAGGTTTTGGGGCTCGAGATCCTTTGTTTTCTATTATGTTTTTAATTGGATTACGATAATTTTTTTTATGATAAAGTCCATAAGTGAACAACCTTTTCGCGATATTGTTTGCTTCTGGAATATTGTGTTGTACTGCCCAGCGGCTGGGCTTTCTTCATTTATGTCGATTTCTGGCTCCAAGCGGTGCTTTTCTAGGGCTCTATACAGCTTTGAGAACCGCTATTTTAGGAAATGGTAGATCACATATGTATGTATCTACGCAAACGGTTAGATTCTGGAAAAGCATATTTTCGCATATGTCCACCTGGCTCCCCACTGTGCGATGATATCTTATACCTAGAATAATCTTATACGTTCATCCACTAACTACTGACGGAAAACTACTGTTTTGACATTGAGAAAGAAAGCGCAGATCCAATCAACTCTTTATAACTCTTATTCGTGATCATTTCGAGCTATTAAATTCAGATATCAGCGAAACATGATACTTTTTGTACATGTCCCGACGCACAACCTTGATCTTTCTTTATTAATTCGATGTGAAATCCTACAACAAATATGAGCAGAGTAAAAAAGGTAAGGATGAAGGAATTAGTAAAGAAAGTTTAACTTTTTTTACAATATCAGATAATATCTGATATTGTTTGACAAGAGTCATCAAGACAAATATTTGGTGTATTTGAGCGCACAACACACCTTTATTCTGTCCTCATTCTGTGAAGAAGCAAAACTATTTATTATTTCTACTTTCACGCAAACGAACACAGAGCAATTCATAATTTTCAAAATGAATGAACGATTACTCTTTATTTTAAACTTATGTTCGATGGTGCTGGCTTGGTATTCATGCCCTCTGAACGACGGATCGTTCAATAAAACGGTGTCGGAAAATTTGAGGGTTCAAGCTGAGTGCATGTACTTGACCGGTCCACTTGAGTGGAATCAGTTTAATCCAAACACCTTCGATGGCTTTTATTACAATTCATCAAAATCAATTCCAGTGACAGATCTACACATGAAACGTTTGTTCTTGTCCGATTTTCCACCACCAAACGGTTCAACTACGAAACACATAATCAACTATTGGCTTGTCAATGGCGGTGGTGGTTCTCAGTTTGGAATGGAGACATTTGGAGTATCAATGTTGAAACAAATCATTTTAAACAATTACCATAATAAATATCCTCAGACACATCCAGTAATGTACCTGTTTCAATACAGAGGAGCGGGAATGAGTATACCATCGATTCATTGTTACACAGCGACAAACTGGATCGATTGTGCAAAAGAATTGATTCGAACAACAGTACCCTCATCAACAAATGAATCATTAAAAATAATAAATGCAATGACAAATCAAAATATTGCACAAGATTTACAGTATCAAATTCAGTATTCGATCAATCAGTCGCAACCGACATCTCAAACATCAACCTATATCTACGGATTGAGTCAAGGTAAGTCGAATATGAAAACTTGCATTGATGGAATGAATCGAAAGTTAGTTTGGGGGCGAATGCAACAGTTTCGAACACGATGAATCTCAAATTTCGGTTTTGACTATATAGTTCCGTTAGGCGATTGAATTGAAAAAACAATTGAAATTTCCGCTCTCCGACACCTTTATCAACAAAAATGTGTATAAATAGAACGGCGCATGACATTCACAAGTCTCGTATAAAAGAAATGCACGTATTTGGGAAATGAAGTACTCTAAAGTGTAAACCAGTTGGCCGATTAATTTATATTCACCGATGTCAATTCTACTACGAGGAATCAACTATTGTCAAACGCAACCCTCTCAGACCAAAAGATAGAAAAAAAAATAAAAAAATACACTTTTCTCCAGCTGTCTATAAAATTGACCTTCGCATTACGGCGAATTTTTCAACCTTTTGCCACCTACTACATTAAATAAGGACTCGAAGTCGACTGAGTTTGACGTACAAAAGAACACGGCCACTTTTGTCCTCCGCAGCCTAGGAATAGACAAGAGAGACACAATGAGCCGTGTGGCGACTTTGTAGATAATCAAGCATAGTATGTGGAAGCGCAAGCCTGACTAGTAAAGATAGTCTACCGGAAACATGTTAACATTGATCGACTTTGCTTAATGTTACAGCGTCACTTGTGGCAGAGTTGAAATCGGATTATATTTTACAGCAACGGAGCTTTTCAATCTCCATAGTTTTTGAACGTGTTGAAATAACATCATCAAACATATTCAGTCGGTATTCATCGGTATGGACCAGTATTTCACCGGCATAGGAATTTGTTGCACTAGCCGGTCTGGTCCGGTATGGCTTTTCCTCACCGATCTCAACTCTGACCTGTGGTACGTTTAGTGCAGGTTTTTCAAGAAAAAAAATTTCCGAGAAATTTTCGTATGGTCATAAATTTCTTTTTTTACGCAATTATCATTGATATTTTCTGCTATTGGCTCAATATCCCAGATATAACCGTATAAAAATTTGTTCTCTCCTCCCCAGCGGAAATTAAAATTTTTTTTTCGTTATTTTTGGTCGCACAGCGAAAATTTTTTCTTTTATACGCTCCTCTACAAAAAGATTTTACACCCCTGCCCCAAAGTTGACTTCCTGTTTACGGTCCTGCACGTAGCCGCGTAGAGCAGCGTAAAAAGTTACAAAGTCACAATCCTTGTATATATGAAAAATTCAGAAAAAGGGCGCCAAAAGAGCATCAGTGTGCACATTCAAAAATAATTTCTGAATCAGTGAAAACATTTTAACTAAAGCTGAGATGAGTGTGATAAATGCAAGATAAAATATGGTTGCTCTGTCCTGCCCTGTGGACTTAGAAAGAATGGTCGCTGTTATCTGCAGTGTTCGCTTTGAGACTAGCTGTACTCAAAATAACCGATATACCAGATTTTTAGTTCAAGTTCCACTTTTTCTCCTTTTTAATTGAACACTTGAAGTATGTTGAAGTTCAGTTTTTCAAATTAGGAACTGGTATCATTGAATATTATCTATCGATCCAAACAATCAATTCCCAGTTACAACAGATCAATGGAGTCATTCTCGACGGGATAATGTCGATAAGAGATTCGGATGCATTTCAAAATCAAATGAAATCAATAAATGATCGATTCTACTTGTATCTATCGAAATGTCAAGATGATATTTTATGTTCGAAAGCATTCAGTCTTGTCACTGGCACTGATCAGGATATCATAAGTGTAGCGTTAACATTCCAAATGCTTTTTTTGACCAACACGACAAACGCTCTCTGCACAACCAACTTGGGATTGAATAGCTGGGATCTATTTACTCTTATTGGAAACCAAGGAATTGAAAATATCATCGTTCGTCCAATAACTGCAATTCTCATTGCTCGTATATATCGTTGTTCCGCTGAAGATCAACGAGTTTTGTCTCGAGCACTACCGATCATTATTGCCTTAGTTGAACAATCATCATCCACGCATTTGATCGATCCTCCTGAAGATTATCCAAATGATGGAAGTGTTTTAAGTATAACAACAATCTGGAGCGATTTTGTTGGTTTTACTTTGGATCAGAACTTTAAAACTAATTCTAGTTTTTATAATGACTTTTGTATCAGCAGTAAGGTCCTCAATGAATTTTATCTGGCACCGACCGGTCCTATGCCACTCTGTGGTGAAACGCAATTGTCAATATACAATTATACCATGCCATCCGTATTCAAAGACATTTTGTACGCAAAAAGTCCACGTTACTGGGGAAAATTCCAAGTTAATCCAAATATATTTCGATCTCAAGAAGGTGGGGCATTATTATTGAACGGAGATTTAGATTATAATTCGCCAATGTCGAGTGCGCAACAAGTTCAAAAACTGTTTGTATCAGAACAAATTCAAACAAAATTTGTCGCAATGAAGGGTTTAACTCATGTCACTGGTATTCAATCTTACACGAAGGAGGGTGGATTTCAATCAACAACATGTACAAATCAGATTATTGTTCAATTTTTGTATCAACAGGAATTAAATTTAAATTTGTCAAACATCGATTGCACATGCAGTCTGAAAGAAAATTTGATTGGAATCGATTGGTTTTATTCAAATCCAACCGTGAATCAAACATTGTATAGTGTGTTTGGTAACTCAACAACAGATTACTGGGGAGTAAATATGACAATGACACAATTAGAAGAAACGGTATAACAAATTACAAATCAGTCGAATGGATTTAACTTTGATTTATTATGAATTTTGTTAGCGATGATTTTTAAGCGTATTTTTATTTTAACTTCCACCGAATAATATATAAAAAAAACCTTCTTAATTACATTAAAAACGTTAGCACGGAATCAAGTTCTACACCAAGTCAATCATCTTGGATAACAACCGTTCTGGTTCATCTAACTTTGGAGTTCACAAAACTCAAACATTTGACCAATAAACGGTGCCAGCAAAAAACGAAAATACAAGCGAAATTTAATTATTAATTCCGTTCCAGCTCTTCGGTTATGTACTCTTTCATGTTAAAGAAGTGGACAGATAAAACGCCGACCAAGTAGAATGCAAAGGATACAATTTCCATTTACTGTCTTAACTCGATTCAGACGTTTTGTGCTCACATCCGGTGCGCATGCTCTCTTGTAGAGATCATCTTTCCTCTTGATCCAATAGATTTCTTGCAGACCAATACAGTTTTTAGTTTTCTGCTAGTTGAGGATGTTCTATACACTGCAGTATTTCTCGTACGCCATATCGCTCTCCCATACTGACGCCACTTGTCTTGTTGTCAATGTAGATTCCATTTTTGTCAAAATTCAAGCGTATCGAAATGTAACATCATTTTTCATTCCCAATATTCGAATTGCCTCAATCCATACATTCCTACTGGGTTGCATAAACGATGCTAACAGTACGCCATTTACATAACTACAATCTCTTTCCATCAATTGCTTCTTGAACGCTTCGTCGAATTCTGGTACTTTTCAACTTATTTGAAGAAATGAGTGGGGGTGATCAGAAAATGGTATGGCACGTCTCATTCGCTCTCTCGACATTTTAGAACGTTATTTTTGCCGATTCGACTCCTTTGCAGTAGCTTTCGAGACGTTTTGAGACACTTGTTTCGCTATGAAATTCTCTTATAGTTTTTTTTTACGGACGTTAAATGAAAAACATTTTGAGAAGTTTCCAGTGCATTACTCGATGCACGATTTATTTACGATAGATTTCTTCCAAAAATCAAAGGAATGGCAAAATATGGCGTTGGATATAATATTATTCATACTCAAAATTCTCAACATCTTTCTCCACAGCATATTCTTGTAGGCAAGTTATTCGCCAAACACGACAATTCTCTTCAGTTATTAGAAGCGACGAATAACTCGGTGACTCTTGTTCATATGATTCACTTACTCACCTTTACACATATATCGCAAAAGAAGAATCTACACTCTATGACATGCCGTCTCATATTTACCAAGGGCTAAAAAGCTTTACGAACAAGTTTGACTGAAAAAGTGCCTCCTAACTTCACTCAAAATTGTGACGAGAATTGCATTTGCTTGATTTGTTGCACCTCGACTTTCGATATTTTGGGGCACGTTATATATAAGTCTGACCAGCGCGACGTGCGATATCTGATTATATCAAAATATTGAGTTTCAATACCACAGGCGGCGGAGAGGACAGTTTTATTAGAAACTTGATTTTCCGTCTGCAATGTCCAATCAAGTTTTTCTCATAATGTCTACCAGGGTAACTGTATTCTGTTTTGTATAATCTGCTTTTGTAGAGCGCTCAATAAGCTTTGATTCCATATAAAATAGATGGTTTCTGCAACTTCGATGTTACAAGAAATCTTATTTTTCGAAATTATTCATTAGTTGTAACAAATCTTGCATTAGCATCGAATGCTAGAAAAATGTCGATTTCGAGCACTTGAAAATTTAACTTCTGCATGTTAATAATTCTCAATCTTTGCGTCACAAAACCCGATAAAAGACGAAAAACAAAATCAACTTTCCTAGAGAATGAAATTTTTCTTCTAAATTCCAGACGCATGCGGAGAACTTTGCCAGTAAAACTTGTTCATAAAGCCATTTAACTTTTGGTAAACATTTTCAGTCAAATAATTTTATACACAGTTTTGTAGTAGATAGCCTGTTCTTTCTAACGAGAAAAAGATCAAATCTCTATGCCGATTCGTTGTCATACTATATTGAAAAGAAAACTAATGCATAACTTTTGACCCACCCGTTATGTCAAAACGACCCATAATCAAGAATGTTTAGTGTCATTCTTAGGAGTGTGGGCGTAGCAGTTAAACGTTACCAACGTCAACTTATAATATGCGTTGATGTTCGGAAAGGTTCAGCGTAAACTGGTTTACGTTTTGTCGACCGAAGTTATGTTCTCCAAGAATATTGTCACATCACCAAATCTGAAACTTGAAATATTGGTCTTTTTGCTTGTTAAAAAAAACATCCGGCGAGAATTGGGGTTGCTCTCTGACCTTTCATAGACAAAGACTTTAATATCGACTATATAGCGGTGAACGTTAACAGGCCGTACACGAATTGTTGTTTTTGACCGTCATTCGATTTGACAGACTATCAATAACATCGATTATATAGTTGATATTAAAGTCTTTGTCTATAAAAGGTCAGAGAGGAACTCCAATTCTTTGCCGGATGTTTTTTTAACAAGTAGAAAGATCAATATTTTGAGTGCCAGATTTGTGTGATGTGATAATATTCATGGAGAACATAACTTCGGTGAACGACGCGTATGCCACTTTACGCTGACTTTACGCTGTGCCTTTCTGAACGTCAATGCATATAATACGTTCATACGTTATGAACGTCAACGTCAAATGCGTTCGCGTTCAAATTGTTGCCAAATGAACGTGAACGCCTACACCCCTAGTCATGCTCCATACTACAGGAGAACAGAAACAATTTTCTCATGAGAAATAAATTTTCCTCGATATACCATTGTACAGTGGAAACGCTCTAACTTCATCAACACTTGTCCAAATGTATTCAGGCTTCCAGAATATAATATCTAATTGGTCCTCTATTAGCCTAAAATGAAAAAGAGACATAAAAGCTTTTAAAGCCATGACGGATCTTCAGCAATCTTCTACGGATTCTAATCCAAAAATTTGCAAACATGTTGTTTTGTGGCTTTTATGACTGACGACAGTATTATCCGCATATCTATATCTCTTGTAAGTTTGACTAAAATATAATCTCCTTTAGTATAAAGAATGATAGTAAACATTGACACGACACTTAGCGTGGTTGATTCTATTCTTTTGTAAGTTGCCTGGCCTTAAAAATCTCACGAAGGAAAGTCATCAAGTGTCACTACGGTTGTTCCTCGAAGCATACTTCATTATGGGTAGTTTTGAGTTATTTGTTCTTCTCTTTCACTTTTCATTAAAACATTATTCGAAAAGCACTCGAGTGCACTATGTTCACTCTAAAACAAAATGCGTCTTAAAATAAGACACCATAAGTCGGTTGACGATTAGTCGCATACATGGATCTTAAAATAAGATGAATAGAGGCGTCTTAATTTAAGACTCATATATGCGACTAATCGTCAACCAACTTATAGTGTCTTATTATAAATAATTCTGTGCGCGCGGTACCATTAATGCTTTCGAGGATGATCACATTTTCATTTAACTGCAACCTGGGCTTGGTCATTATCATCGTGTTTTCTTTACACCTCTCTTTGTAGTTTTGAAGGATTCGGTGTATACAAAACATATCATGCACATACTAGCAGCATACACCAAGTTCTGTCTGTAATATTTTAGCAGAGAGCAAATTGTTCTTATCTTCAACAACACCGGTATCAAAGAGTCTCAAACTTTGCTTCTCATTATATTTTAAATGATGGTATGAGTCATCAGCCAACAGATCAGCTGTTACTTCACTGAACATGACGGTTATGGCTTTTAATAGATCTGAATTCATCGTTTTAAAAATATCAACAATCGACAAATCCTTCACAATAGCTCTCAATCTTTTTAAATCAATGACTTGTTGCATTATTCATATAAGGAAATTAAAGCGTACATCGAACAGTATCATATATAAACTGCTTGCAAATCATTCAGTCACGCTGTGGAGCTATTTTGCAGAGAATCTGGCTAAGATAAACACAGACAGCAGTGACTCATTAATAAAATTTTACACAGGGAATGATCGTTGTAGTTTAAGTACTTTATATCTTCACATCTCTTGCATATCATCATTTATCAACAATCCAATTAATTCTGTTCAGAATTATTTGCTGCACCTTACCTTTTTTTTATTTAACAAAAAATATCTGACATTTCGACAACGATGCTGTCTTCATCAGAAAAATTCGTGATTTAAGAACACTGAATATATATACAAACACAAAAGTTATACAAAATATTGCCAATTATATTCTCGTGCTTTTCATCTGTAATAGCTTATATCATTTACCATGTCATTTTCCACTGAAATAATGGCCTAAGTCGTATCTGTGTAAAATGACTATTCTTATTTCTCTTTCCTGATTGAATAAGGTTTAAACTAATATTGCCAGTATTATACGAATATAATGCTGGCTGCCATGATTTATTGATTTTCGTCGATTAATTAAATTATTTATTGTTGAGTATATTATTTCTTTTGTTTTTCTTGGTGATGGATTAATTTCATTACCCATAACGAACGCTACTTTTTGATTTAAACATGCATTGATGTTTCATTTTTTATATAATGCTGAACTATTTCTTCATTTTTTTCAATAATTTGATGGTGTTGTTTCATTCAATTCAAATCCAATTTTCATTTCGCCATGGTGTACAGCTCTTCATTCACATGAAATTTGGTATAAAATTGATTTTGTCTTGTTTTCGATGTATGAGTTAAATGATGAATTGATTTTATTTGGATCTGAAAAGAATACTTTGATTTTTAATTTTTCTAGTTTACTTTTTAATACTTCAATACCTTCTCAACATGTAAAGACAACGAATATGTTGGTACATCACTGATGTCTTTTTTATTTGGTCTTGTCGCTGCTTTTAATGTATCTTTTATTAACTTAATAATTTCCTTCGATGGATTTAAAGGGTTTTCCATTAAGGCGGAATATCGTTGTTCCGCTGAAGATCAACGAGTTTTGTCTCGAGCACTACCGATCATTATTGCCTTAGTTGAACAATCATCATCCACGCATTTGATCGATCCTCCTGAAGATTATCCAAATGACGGAAGTGTTTTAAGTATAACAACAACTTTAAATTGAAATAAAACACCAACTATATGCAATTTCAATTAGCTTTTTTATTCCATGTAAAGTATATTTGATACCATTAAGTATGGAATATAACATCATTCAAATGAACGCCACGGCTTCGTTTCATAGCATGGATTCTTTAGACCCAATTTTCGATGACTCTCTCACATAAATCAGGCTGTATTTCAGCGATAACACGTTCAATGTTGTCTTGCAATGCATTAATTGTTTGTGGTTTGTTGGCATAGCACAATGACTTCACATAACCCCATAGAAAAAAGTCTAACGGTGTTAAATCGCATGATCTTGGTGGCCAATTGACTGGTCCTTTTCTCGAAATACTCGATTCACCAAACTTCTCCTTCAATAAATTGATTGTTGCATTAGCTGTATGGCATGTGGCACCGTCTTGTTGAAACCAAATGTCGTCTGCATCAATATCAACAAAAATTGATTGATCATTGCTCTGTAACGAATTCCATTGACAGTAACTGTGG